GTGATTAACACACGAGGTAGAAACTCCTTAATAAGGGGAATATCGCCTTACTGAAAATGGACAAATCCCTTTTTTTTCAATCAATGCTGCCATATTATTTTGATTAATAGTCACAGATGGTGTTGTGCAAGCGTACATTGGATATTGGACTTTAAAAAAAAAAATCAGAACATTTGCTGATACGGCAAATTGTATTTCTGTGCAAAGCAAGTAAATATTGTCGGACGTATTTTTTTAAAAATTAATAATAAATAATAGTAATATATGTTTATCATTTGCTTATAGATGTTTATTTGAATATGCATTATTTTATAGGAGTTGTCCAAGGAATGATAACAGGAATTAGAGGACTCTGTAATGGTTTGGGACCAGCGCTTTATGGTTTTATATTCTACATCTTCCATGTAGAATTGAATGAAAATCCAATGAGTGAAAATGAAGTCAATGTGCCCCCCCAACACCATTCACAGCAAGTAAGTTTAAGGCATAGCAGGTATTTTTTTTTTAAAAAAAATGTATAAGTGGTGATAAGCAAAAAAGGAATCGTGGTTTTAAATGTATCATTGTAACTCCGATATCTTCATCAGCCACCAGCCCCAAAGACCACTATAAAACAGTGCTTCCTGTTCTGACCCCCCCCTCTCCGTTCAGGAACGAAAGCCAAAACAGACATACGAAAGAATGTTTTAATCAGTCCAGGCTCTTGTTGGCTGCGAGCCCAAAATAAACCAAGATAATCGCTCTGGCAAAAGTCCTATAACTCACGCAGCATTGCAAACAGGCTTCTCTCATCAAGCCACTTATCCAAGTTGGCTTCTCTCGATTTGTGAACGCGAACGAGAACGTTGACTTCTGCAACCAGGGCGTGGCACACACAGTTCCCTTTATACTCAGGAGAGGATCCCAGTGAGCAACAGCTGCTCACAATCATCTCCTGTATGTACTCAGTTGTTCCTTCCGTCGAGTAACCCTTCGACGGGGTGCATCCTGCAAAAACTCCCAAGTGTTTCCCTGAACACTCCCTCTAATCCAAGGCTCTGCCGCCACCTGGTGGTCAGCCAGTCTCTCCTCGCCCTGTTCCTCGCCCTGTCCAGGGTCCTCCACCTCCTCCAAGGCCGACTCATAAGCTCCCTCGCTGTCGGAGTCTGGCAGCAGCCCCAACGGCTCCTGCTGGGCCACAACAGCTTCCTATCCCCCAATTCCTGCAACCAGTTCCACTAGATACTATGGATGACAGTATCAAAAGCCACCGAGAGATCAAGGGACACAATTCAGAGCCATGTCTCTACTAAACCCTGCCCTGAGGGCTGACTGAAATGCATCTGCTTCCTCCAGGATCCTATGGACCTGAAACTTTGCTATACTTTTCTCCATTACTATCTTTTGAGACAGTAATTATCTAAGACTGTTGGATCCAGTGATGTCTTCTTGAGGAGAGGGTGCACCACAGCCTTCTCACTCAAAAGACCTGGCACCGAAGCTTGGACCCAACTGCAGATCACCTACCTTTCGCTATCTTAAGAGCAACCTGGATTTAAGAGACAGGTAGCCAAACTAGCACATTGGCGAACACTCAGAAGTCACCGACTTAAACCTGCTCCAGATAACCACACAAGGCCCTCCAGGTACTTCAGCTGGAACTGACCGCTTGAGGTCCAACTCTAAAGAGATCCAAACAACTTTATCTGCCAAATAGCAGCAATTTATTCCTTGCAGCTGCTTTGGAAATTATCCTGGGCTGATTCCTCACAATCGGTAACATTTGCCCTGTAGTTTAACTTGCTTTAATTACTGTTCAGTGGTTGTCCAAACTTTGCTTAATGATGATTCATAGTTAAAGACGCAGGAGCAGTTGTGAAGCTCCACAGGGTGCATCAGCTCTGCTTTTTCCTTTTTCACTCCCATTGGGGATTGAATTGAATTGAATTTTATTATTCGTATGCTGCCCTTCTCCGGGAGGGACTCAGGGCGGCGAACAATTCAAAAAGGGGAAAAGGGGAACATAGAACAAAATACANTCTTTCTAGAATCTCAACATCTTTTTTACATTGTGGTGACCAAAACTGGATGCAGTATTCCAAGTGTGGTCTTACCAAGGCATTATAAAGTAGTATCCAAACCAGGATGGGGAATTATGTGGTCAGAGGATTAAATGATTCTCAGTCCTCCTCATAGTACAATGTGATCCCAATACTATGCCTTATTATCTGGAGCCTCTTCAACCTAAAATCAGGCCAGGATAGAGTAACAGCTTTGGTTTTTAATACAACATGCTTTTTATTGCCTAAAGCCCAATGTGCATAGGAATGGTGTATTTATTTAACTCAAATTTGAGTTCAGCCTCTTCAAAAAATTTAGGTGGCTTACAAATTCTTATAATTGTTTAATAGTTGCTATTTTAACAAAATGTATAAAAAATACAGATTATTTGAGAGCCTGCCTTTCCCTAATGGTATTCCTGTATCCCACACTTTGGGTGAAAACGCATCCTTAAAATAGTGCCATTTAATGGGACTAAGATGGAATGTCAAATTAACCATGCCACCTGAAGACAAGCGGCTTACCTTTAGAAAATAAATAACAGAGAATCTCATAATCGTACAAACTCTGCATGAAATGAACATCCATACAATTCATCTTTGTAAAAGATATGCAGCTTCGGATTTAGATGGTACTCTCTAAATATAAAGTGTTTTAGGAGATAAACAAAATTTAAGGCATACAGCCAAAGGAGACTTGAGCAGGATTATTATCTAATTTTACTAGATCACAATTCAGTGCTTTGAAATCTCTGAAGTAAATGAGGGGAGCAGTGGGAGAGAAACAGCTATTTCATGATACTGAGGTGCAAAATCAGATTGTTCACACTGCACTTCATTCTTGTGTACGATAATCTAACCATAATTTAACTAAAACTAAAGTGCTGACTTTTTGTCTTTTGGTAACTCTGGCTCTGTTTTGTTTTTCTTTCCAGAATTCCATCATCCCTGGGCCCCCATTTTTATTTGGCGCATGTTCAGTGCTGCTGGCTCTACTTGTTGCCTTGTTTATTCCCGAACATACCAATTTAAACGGTCGTTCTAGCAGCTGGAAAAAACACTGTGGTGGACATGGACATCCCCACAGTCCACAGGCCCCTGGAGAGGCCAAAGAACCTTTATTACAGGACACAAATGTATGATGACAAAACCCAAGGACTCATAGAGCAAGTTTTATTTTTTCACCTGCAGCTCTGGATACACATTCCATTTCCATTGAAATTGTCATTTCTTAAGATGTCCTTAAGAAATGGATCTCTTGCATGAAAACTGTTAAGAACCACAAACAGGAAGTGGAAAATCATCCAAAGACGTTACAACTTAAATTACTTTGGTTTTTAAAAAGAAGCTAGGATTTTTGTCAAAGTCCTAAATATATTAAATCTCCTTAATTTATATATACACACACACACACACACATACGCATACATATACATACGCACATACACACACACACACACACACACACACACACACACATATATATACAAACATATATACAAGGTATCAGCATGTGTTCCTGCATCAGTTTCTTGAAGGTGTTACGCTTCGTTCTCTTCATGCTGGTCTCAGTGANGATCTAATGGGTCTGTGGGAGGTAATTGGCAGCAGGTGGTCTCTCAAGTAGTTTGGGAGTTTGGAAGGGTTTGGGGGTATTTTACTTTCCTTCACTTGTAGTCCTCAATTTATGACAGTAATTGAGCCTAGAATTATGGTCATAAATTGTTGAGGTTTTAACTCAAGTGATCACTGGACCCTTTTTTTAAAAAAACTTTTTTGTGACAGGCATTAAACAAATCCCACTGTAATTAAGCAAATGGACTAAGTTAAGTAGATCAATTCTCCCCAATGGGTATTTTTTTGTGAGAAACTGTAAATAAATGTCCAAAATCAGCAAAAAAAGAAAAAAAAAGTAGTAAATTGTCGTCCTGTAATTGTGAAATGCTATAAACAGCAGTAGAGGTAGCTAGTTGCCAAGCGCCCGAAATGTGATCATGTGACTGGATGTGTGCGCGGTGATTGTAACTTTGGAAATGGGTTGTAAGTAGCTTTGGGGAGAGTTTGTTGTAAGTGATTGTTAAGCAACCAGTTGTAAGTCAAGAGCTACCAGTATTTTACTTTTTCAGAAGGAAAAAGGGTCTGGGAGAATGATTGATCTTCCCTCACTCACAGAGTGGTGATTTGTTCCTGATCAAACCAGAGACTTGTTGCTTTCAAACAGAAAAAAAAAAGTGACGACCATATAATTATTCTTTGGATATTGTTTTGTTTTGTTTTGTTTTAAGCAACAGATTGCTTCTGAACATCACTCTTGGAATAGGAAGCATTCTTTGTTGACACAGGAACATTTTATTTGGCTTACTTAGCCTTAAGTTAATCTCACTCATGCGCTAGGCTGGTTGATACATGTATTGGCCTGGTTCTCAAAAAGTAGTATCTGGAAATGGGATTTATTTCTCTATATTGATACAATTGTAGGTACAGATTCTGTAAGCTAAAAGTTATTGAGCAAACAAATAAAAGCAACTGAAATGTATGAATTCCTGTAGGGATCTTTACAGCTTGCCTGCCGTGTAAAGTTGGGAGTATAGTTGCCCTCTTGTTGCAATTTAGGTGTAGATGACCAGGCTGAACCTGAGGGTGGGTTCAAACACATCATCAGTTTGGAGTCTCTACGGCGCTGTGAAACCTAAGTCCCCACCCCCTTGAAGTCTATTGACTCTTATCTAGTGCCAATTTGTTAGTAGTTCAGATTCTTGTGTATAGATAGTGTGAAAGAAAGTGGTAGTACCTTTGACTTTTATCTTGGTTCCTGACTTCCTGCACCTGACAGAATAACAGAAAAATGGAGCTGGAAGGGACCTTGGAGGTCTTCTAGCCCAACTCCCTGCTCAGGCAGGAAGCCTATAACATTTCAGACAAATGCTTGTCCAATCTCTTCTTTAAAACTTCCGGTGTTGGAGCATTCACAACTTCTGGAGGCAAGTTGTTCCACTGATTAATTGTTCTAACTGTCAGGGAATTTCTCCTCTTAAGTTCTAGGTTGCTTCTCTCCTTGATTAGTTTCCACTTGTTGCTTCTTGGCTTACCCTCTGGTGCTTTGGAGAATAGCTTGACTCTCTCTTCTTTGAGATGTTAGAACACTGCTATCGTGTCACTCCTATCTTCATTAAATTAGATATACCCAATTCCAGCAACCATTCTTTATGTTTTAGCCTCCAGTTCCCTAATCATCTTGGTTGCTCTTTGCAGTCTTTCTAGAATCTCAACATCTTTTTTACATTGTGGTGACCAAAACTGGATGCAGTATTCCAAGTGTGGTCTTACCAAGGCATTATAAAGTAGTATCCAAACCAGGATGGGGAATTATGTGGTCAGAGGATTAAATGATTCTCAGTCCTCCTCATAGTACAATGTGATCCCAATACTATGCCTTATTATCTGGAGCCTCTTCAACCTAAAATCAGGCCAGGATAGAGTAACAGCTTTGGTTTTTAATACAACATGCTTTTTATTGCCTAAAGCCCAATGTGCATAGGAATGGTGTATTTATTTAACTCAAATTTGAGTTCAGCCTCTTCAAAAAATTTAGGTGGCTTACAAATTCTTATAATTGTTTAATAGTTGCTATTTTAACAAAATGTATAAAAAATACAGATTATTTGAGAGCCTGCCTTTCCCTAATGGTATTCCTGTATCCCACACTTTGGGTGAAAACGCATCCTTAAAATAGTGCCATTTAATGGGACTAAGATGGAATGTCAAATTAACCATGCCACCTGAAGACAAGCGGCTTACCTTTAGAAAATAAATAACAGAGAATCTCATAATCGTACAAACTCTGCATGAAATGAACATCCATACAATTCATCTTTGTAAAAGATATGCAGCTTCGGATTTAGATGGTACTCTCTAAATATAAAGTGTTTTAGGAGATAAACAAAATTTAAGGCATACAGCCAAAGGAGACTTGAGCAGGATTATTATCTAATTTTACTAGATCACAATTCAGTGCTTTGAAATCTCTGAAGTAAATGAGGGGAGCAGTGGGAGAGAAACAGCTATTTCATGATACTGAGGTGCAAAATCAGATTGTTCACACTGCACTTCATTCTTGTGTACGATAATCTAACCATAATTTAACTAAAACTAAAGTGCTGACTTTTTGTCTTTTGGTAACTCTGGCTCTGTTTTGTTTTTCTTTCCAGAATTCCATCATCCCTGGGCCCCCATTTTTATTTGGCGCATGTTCAGTGCTGCTGGCTCTACTTGTTGCCTTGTTTATTCCCGAACATACCAATTTAAACGGTCGTTCTAGCAGCTGGAAAAAACACTGTGGTGGACATGGACATCCCCACAGTCCACAGGCCCCTGGAGAGGCCAAAGAACCTTTATTACAGGACACAAATGTATGATGACAAAACCCAAGGACTCATAGAGCAAGTTTTATTTTTTCACCTGCAGCTCTGGATACACATTCCATTTCCATTGAAATTGTCATTTCTTAAGATGTCCTTAAGAAATGGATCTCTTGCATGAAAACTGTTAAGAACCACAAACAGGAAGTGGAAAATCATCCAAAGACGTTACAACTTAAATTACTTTGGTTTTTAAAAAGAAGCTAGGATTTTTGTCAAAGTCCTAAATATATTAAATCTCCTTAATTTATATATACACACACACACACACACATACGCATACATATACATACGCACATACACACACACACACACACACACACACACACACACATATATATACAAACATATATACAAGGTATCAGCATGTGTTCCTGCATCAGTTTCTTGAAGGTGTTACGCTTCGTTCTCTTCATGCTGGTCTCAGTGAGACAAACAAGCAGGATTTGGGTATGTCTTCTCTCTGTAAAATTGTTGGTCAGATGGATTCAAAGCCTTAACATAGATGCACTTGGCCAGGAAGGTGAATTTGGTTGATATTGGACTTTCAAATCAGTGTCTGACAGGTTTTTTTTTTTCTTTTTTTTTCTAACACAAATCATGTGTTGAATACACATCCTGAACAGTACACTTTGAAGTGCATTATTCTGCTAATTCTGTGTAGTGTGAGCCTAGATTTTACTACTGGCTCCAACACTCTACCTTCATAAATACAATTTGATACCACTATGCTTTGGATGTTTTGCATTAAGGACCTCAACACTTGAACGTACAAACTCAACTCTTAAGCTGATAGCCTTGATGATGTCAGTGTGCTCTATACATGATTGTCACTTTTATTACTTGACAGGATGAATAGCTGTTCAATTTCGAACCAAGGACAAATGAGTTAATCAGCTTTTCCTACTATTTTATTTGTAAATTACATATGTAGGAGGCATGACAGGCTAGTGAATACTCTTGTCTAGTAATTCAAGTGGCAATTCTTGCTCTATAGTGGCCTTTTAAGATTGTCACAAATAACACTTCAGAGCCAAGGGGTTAGTCCTGCATTTTCAGGACCACAGTACAAGGAGAGAGCTTTATACAATTACTGATGTGAATTTCTCTAAAAGTGTATATTTTTGTGTCCAGTTGTATTATTTAAGTGTTCCTTTGTATAAAAATGTGTATAAAGTATTGTATAGTTCAAAATGTTTTCATCTTGTGCTGTGGTTATTGCTTAAGTTTTTTTTAAACTTTCACCACGGTTGAATAGAAGCTGAAAAATTGTAAATACTCTGTTAATAAAAGTTGAATATTTTAGTGACTTTTTAAAAATTGATATACTTGGTGTAATATACTGTCAATATAGTTGATTATACATCTTTCGTATCACATATTTTATATCTGTTCTAGGTATACATATATTTTCTATCGTAAGAATTGATGTAACTAGAAAAACTGTTTCTGAAATTTAGCACTTGTAAAGGAGCAAAAAGTGTCAGATGAAAGATGGAGAGCAGTAATTGTGATTACTGAAGGAATTTTTTTGGACAGTACATATATTTATTCCAATTGCATAGTGCTAGCATGGTTTCTCTGGGTAACGTTACAGCAAATATATCTCAATTTTGAGTAATAAGAAAACAAAGTGCTGTAGTTTACTCTGTAGGGAGGCATCTTTCTTCATTGTTAAATAACTGATTCTTTAGAACAGTGTTTCTCAACCTTGGCAACTTGAAGATGTCCGGACTTCAACTCCCAGAATTCCCCAGCCAGCATTCGCTTCTGGGAGTTGAAGTCCGGACATCNGGTGTATCTAGGTACACCCAATATCGCTCGCCCGGCTGCATTCTGGACCAACTGCCGTCTTCGTACACTCTTCAAGGGCAGCCCCATGTAGAGCGCGTTACAGTAACCCAGTCTTGAGTAAGCATAGTTACTCACAAGTAAAGTTAGGATGTGAAAGTCTTTCCACCCCTCCACCCAAATCCGGATAACTTTTTAACTGAGTAATTCTCAGGCGAAGTCTTTTGAAGACAACTAACGCCTAAATATAATGAGAAAGCAGAAAGATCCTTCTTTCACAGCTGGCAACCGCAAACCCTTGTGGTTCCTGTCGGCTGGAAACCTAAACCTCATGGGGGGGGGGTGCCCCAAAGGTGCTTTCAAAAAAGGGAAGTGAGGTTTCCTTGGTTTTTCTTGAAGATGAAGATGTTCAATATTCCGCAGTGGAATCTCCTAGAGCGTGTTTCTCAACCTTGGCAACTTGAAGATGTCCGGACTTCAACTCCCAGAATTCCCCAGCCAGCATTCGCTTCTGGGAGTTGAAGTCCGGACATCTTCAAGTTGCCAAGGTTGAGAAACACTGCTTTAGAACATTCTAATTAATCCCATTTCACTGTGGTTTTATTGCAGTAACAAAAATACTATGACTTAGATTCAAATTTATTAAACTTCCTTTTTGTATTGATGTAGAAACATAAGGGGACAGTGGATTGTCTTAATTTTGTTTTCTTTCTACTCTCTCCTGAGATCTTTAAAAAAAGGCTGGATTGATATATACAACAAATGAACTCTTAGCAAATGTATAAACTTATTGTTAATAGAAATATGGGGCACGGGTGGAGAAAGATTTGCATGAGCTAGTATTAGCATATTAAGGTCTTGATGTTAATTCTTTGTAGTCACTATACTTCAGGTAGTACTGACTATATGGTCTGCTCTGGACTTTTATTTTAATCTTCACTTACATTTGAGAAATCTGGTTGAAATATCTTGCCAGTTACTTTGCAGCTTCGTAGAAAAGCACTAAAATGTTTCTTTAACAACAAAAACTTTAATAGATCTACTTAGATCTATTACATTTTAGAGTGCGCTTTGATAGAAAATTAACCATAAAATTGGGGCATTCATTCATTTAGTAAGTGCCCAGTCTTCTAGAAGTGTTTGGACAAGGCTTCTAAATTAGGATTTTATGTGGGCAAAGTTAACCTCTCCATTTATTGAGCATGGAGTTTTCTCTGCGTGTATGCATGCAAACGGAGGGAATTTTTCTGGTCAATCAGAAATTAATCGAAAAACTTGGTATGTGTTGAAAACAGCTCATTTGATGCTAGACTATTCTCTTGGTCATGCTTTAAATGCTTGAGAGGGTCTGGAAACATAAGACTTTGTCAGATCTATAATTTTAGCAGCTGGGTTTATTAAATCATGACGTCTACCACAAATTACAGGCTATTCTCTGCTTAAGTTGGATCTGGTAACAATTATATATTGCTCAGTCACATTCCACTTAACTGGTGGCGTGTGCTTTTTATGAAACTGACTTTCTTAAATTGGAAAATATTGTCTATACAAAATCACTGATATGAATCAGGTGCAGTACGTGTTTAAAACAAATCCATTGGCTAATTTTTGCCTATGCCAATAAAGTGCTGGTTATAAATTAGCCCTATGTGGCTTGGCACTAAATGTGTGAAATACTATTCTAACAGATACCTGAACTAAAATCTTGAATTATTTTGTGCTTGCCATCTTTACTGGCAATTTGATGAAAACATGTTAAATAGCTGTCAAAACTGCCAAAGATAGCTTGCTGAGTCATTTATGTTGTAAGTGGTATAAAGCTTATTCACCAGCCAGATACCTATTTTTGTTATTTATAAGTAAACTTCGTTGTTACTAGCTTTTTGGAACATCACTTTATACGATAGGGGAAGGAAAATAATTATATAATTCTGATTGAGGAACATAAAAATTCTAATTTGCCTGCATATCACCATGTCACTGGAGGCAATTTTTGGAAAAATAGGTCCTTCAATTGTAGGTAATTGGCACCCTAACTACATGAATATTTATATATCCCCTCTTATACGCTATTTCACAAAAACAAGGACTTTCAATTGTGCCTCCAACACGAATGGGAATCAAGAAAGGAATGTAAGTTCCTAATATGAAAGTTGCAAGTTTGCAAGACCTGTCATTTTTCTGTAATTAATACCACAGAAGTAAGCTTTAATCTAGAACAGTGATGGCAAACCTTTTTCTTACAGCGTGCCAAAATTGCGTGCACACGTGAGGACAAAAATGGCCTCACCCGGTCTCCTGGAAACGGATCGTTTTCAAACTTCCGGTTGGCCCATTCGGGCCGTTTTTTGCCCTCCCTAGCCTTCAGAGGCTTTCCTGAAGCCTGGGGAAGGCAAACAGTGCCTCTCCCAGCCCTCCAGAAGGGCAAAAAATCAGCTGGCATGCTGATGGCTGGCATGCCAGCAAATATGACTCGGTGTGCCACCTGTGGCACACGTGCCATAGGTTCACTATCACAGATCTAGAACTTTGGACTAAGTTCTAATAGCTATCATGGTGATTCCACTCAAACTTATATGAAGCAAAGTTTTAAGGGAGGGAAATAAAAACTGTCCTCTAGTCTTCACTTTCTAAAACCTTAACTGTATAACAAGTGTTTCTTTTTCATATTAAGATTGATTTATACTCTGGACAAACTCAACCTTTGTGTAAGTTTTATTAAAATGAACAATATATATATATATATAAACACTACACTGATTATAGACAAATATACACATTTTACACTGCAGAGAATAATTGTGCAATAACACATTTAAATGATTTGTTATTTTTCACTCAATATACAGAATTACAAATATATGTATGTACCAAAAGCCACTAGCTAAATCCAAACCACAATCCTTAAAATACCTTGAATCTTTTAAACCCAAGCAATGGAAGGGATTTCAATTCACACTTTAACCAAGTTTACATGTTAGATTTATCTAAATGTATATTTGACAAAAATTACAAGATACTCAGAGCAGTTCTGTTTGGAAAAAAGTATGAATGTAATAAAATCCCATTAAAGGAGATTATATGGGACTATCTTTAGATATTTTCCAGCTACAATTATGAGGTTCTTAAAGCATGCTAAAACTTTCTCTGCATTTCATAAAACTTAAAACTGGCTGGACTATGCCAATTTTTGTTGATTTGATTCAGTTAGAGGCCCCATTGTCCCATTGCAAAATGAAATTGCTCCTCCAGCTAGAAAGAGATGTGATTTTTATCTTTCCATGCAGCACTAGTATATTTCTACATCTTTTTCCACAGGGACCCGTATCGTCAAAAACAGCAAGAACATGAGAACCTCATTACTCTTTACAGTAAATAAAACTGGACAGCAGATATATATATAAGACACTGTACAGAAATTTTCCCCACATTCTATAGACTGATGTTATGTAACATTGAAACATAATTTCCGGGCAAATGAAAATATTTTACAACTATGTGAGCAGACCATCTAGAGTTGAAAACATTTGAATAGAATAAGTACAAAACATTTCACATTCAAAGCAGTTCTCAAGTAACTCTTAAAGCAAAGTGGTTTTCATGTTTCTACTGAATAGCAACAAAAATAACATCCTGTTAATCTTTGATATCTGATTACAGCTTAATGTGAGTATGATGCAAGAGTTGTAGACATAACATTTCAATTTAAATATATGTTGCAAAATAAAATTAAAATAAGGCATCTGTTATGTTCTGATAGCAAACTATACTCGATAACAAAATTATGTTACACTGGAGGGAAAAATTGCCTAAAATATACCAACAATGGTTTTAAGTACTGTTTTCTAAACCCTGGACAAAATGTGCCAATATTGTTAACAAAGTAACAACACAGGAATTCTAAAATTCTGTAAACCCAAAAACAATTGTTTATTTGTGGGCACTGGTACTGCATTCCTAAATCATGTTATTCATACTGGTAGTTCCATAAAAATTACAAAAAATCAATTTGCAAAGCTGGGTTCAAATGTGTTCCGAAGGTAATAAAAAGAACTTGCCTAGGCCAGTTGATATTTTTCTACCAGCATGGTTAGAAACTAGAAAATATTTGTTTAAAATTGTTTCATTACTTCAGACATGGTCATATAATAATTTTTATTTATGGCCAAGACACCTCAATAGTTGAATGGCAGTTTGCTATTCAAGCTGGAAATGTGTAGTTTGGCCATGTAGAAGCATCATTACATAATCTTTAAATCTATAAATAATTGGAGGAAATTCCACTTAGACACAATTTTAACAAATCTGTACACTCTTTTACATAATCATCAAAAACTGCTGAAAGAATGAAAGCTTATGCTTATCCAAGCTGCCAAATATAGATTCAGGAGTCTCACACCTTATCCCATCTGCCACAACCCTCCCTGGGATTGCAGTATTATATAGTTAGAACAATAAGGCAGATCTATTTGCATTGCATTGAATTTCAACAAAACTCCCTGCAGAATAATCTGAAAAATTAAGCTCCAAAATTCTGCAGACAATTCTATTTGTGTCAGGTAAATTCCTCCTTAAGCCTTCCAAAATTTCTTCACTTTTGAGCCCCACATTCCATAACCTCTGGCATAGAAACAACAATAAGTCATTCTTATCAGGTAGTGCATTTTTGATACCTGAAACTGAAATCAAATACCTCGTATATGCAAAAATGCAAATGAACTATTAGAGAACAACCAAATAGAATCTAGACATCTGTCCATTAGATAATTTCATTTTGTAGAAAAAACATAAGTTTAAGCATCCTAGATCTAGTTCACTTTAGTACCCAGAAATCTATTTAGTAAAAATGTAATGTTGATACTTCAAAAGGGAAACAAATGCATGTAACTGATAATTGTTTAAAAAAAATCTAAACTATTGTAAACCTTTAGTTACAACATGCTATCCAGGAAAGTAGGCAGACGTTTTAGAAGGTGCTGCAGGCTTGCATGGAATCTGTGCTTTTTTTGGTGCAGAGGACTTCATATATCCTGCAATGATAAAAATTGATCTTGAAATAACTTACATTTTCAGATATTATGAGCAAATTCTTTTATTGTAATTAAATATATGCATATATTTATATGTGCATACATGTTTACCTGTGTTTTGAGTTGTGTTTTGATTGAGTCCTCTTAAAGGTATGCTATCTTCCCTTTTCTTTAAATACTTTGTTTCCAATCCCAAGTTTTCACCACTAAGTCAAAAGAAAATATTACTGTTGTATGCACTCATCTATTTAGAAGTTTCCCAAGTTTCCCAATGAAAATCTCTAAGAATTTTAAATACAATTCCAGATCTCCTATGAATTACTGTATTTAAAAGACAGCAAGCTCATGAATGCTAACCTCAAAATCATATCCTGAGGACATAAATTCCTACATTCAACTTAATTCCTTAAGTTTAAAATGGTTATGTTAATTCCTCAAAAGAGTTTGTCTCTGGAAACTTGCTTTTTCTGCTAACAGACTATCTTACCTTCGTAAAGCCCATATCATACATAAGCAATATCTTTTGGGATGTCATACAAAGTAGAAAGAGAATGGCATTTTTGCTATTAGGAGCTATGTTCCTTGAAGGGATGGCATTCTGCTTAGACTCTGGGGAAATGAAAACGGATCTAGTCCCTGGAAAAATTCAGTTCTTTGCTTTTAGATGCTTCTCCATTGATCTATTTCCCCCTAAAATTTTACTGTAGGTACTATATAATCTCAATCACTGTTAAAATTCACCAAGATATATTCTGTTTGCCTGAAGGCATTCTACTAGTCCCCTCCCAGTTATTCTTAAAAAAAGAAAAAAAGATGGGATTTTTTTCTGTACTATGGGAGGGGGGAATATTTTCTCAATTTAAAGTTATTTTTCTTTCAGATATACAGGATATCACTTCATAGTTCATTCCTTATTAGAGGAGTAACTTAAATACTTAAATATGGCTTGCTTTAACTGCATTTCATTTCCTGTTAGACTTTCCACACTGAATTCTCTGATGCATTTAATCCTTGCCTTGGTGGCTTCCACACTACCTTAGAGTGGAGAAAAGACAAATTCTAACATAATGCCATAGGAGGAAGTAACTATTTTCTTGCATTTAGAATACTGATTATCTCTGGTTGCTTTCACTTTACATATTCATTCAACCCTTTGGCCTCTACCCCTGATAGTTCTGCTTCCTCCAAATTCCCAAGTTTGCCTTCCTCTTCAAGTCCAAATGGCCTTTCCACCTTCTCTTTAAATACTCCTAGTTTTTTCCTCAGTTTCCTCTGTTCAACTGCTTACTTTTCTTTATTTGCTGAATGACCTATCAGCCCAGGAATCCCTGGCTGGGCATCTAAACATCTGTTCGTTTCTGAGAGCTGCACATTGAAGTGAACCTGCTGGAAAAAGATTTTTTTCAGTATTATATTTTTGCCATTTTATGTATCAGAGCCTTAGTCATACAATATTGCATGTAAGAAAAATTATACATATTGTTACAGAAATGCTTAATGATTGAACAGTATAAATTGTCAATATATTTATTTAAAGCAGAATTAAATTAGCTTTCTCAAAGAGTAGTAATAAATTGTCTGACATCATCACTGACATCTTTTTTACAATAAATCACAGCCATAATACTATCCATATGGTTCACTCATGGAACCTGCCTGTCTTTTGCATGACAATATTAGCTGTTACAAAAATGAATGGCTTTGTTTTATCATCTATGTCAGTGATAGCAAATGTTTTTGGCTCGTGTGCCAAAAGCAGGGAGGTTGTGCGCGGGCATGCCATACCCATAATGCTATGCATACCACCCCAGCGCGCATGCGTGCACAACCAGCACTCTCCCCAATTTTTGGCATTTTTTTTCACCCTCCCGGGCTCCAGAGACTTTATAAGAGCCTGGGGAGGGTGGAAACAGCCTCCCCCCCCCCCCTTGGAGGCTTCAGGAGCTTCCCTGAAGCCTCTGGAGCACGAAAAACTGGCCCTACGGGCAAACCGGAAGTTCAGGAATGGACTTTCGGTTTGCTTGTAGGCCCTGTTTTAGCCCTCCGGAACCTTCAGGAGCCTTCAGGTTTCTTTGAAGGCTCCGGAGGGCAAAACCTGAAGTCACTTCTTGAACTTCTGGTTTGCCCATAGGGGCGGTTTTTTGCGCTTCGGAAGCTTCAAGGAAGCCTCTGGAGGGCGAAAAATGACCTCAAAAAAAGGCCGAAGTAAGCTGACCAGCTGACAGGTCAACACCTCACGTGCCCTGACAAATGGCTCTGCGTGCCACAGGTTCACCATCACAGATCTATGTACTTGCACAATCATTTTGCCAATAATATTTTAAGCAGTTGGAATAACATTCTACATTAAATACAGATGGCCCCACTCTGCCTACTTTTTCTAAAGTTTTAAACTCTTGGCTTTTGCTTCAGATACTTCGATTCTTTGGTAGAATTTGTTTTACCTATTATATTATATTTTATTTTTGACTTATGTAGCTACCTTTTTCCTGTATGCTGGCCTGAATTATTTTAAGAGATTGGCTATGACAAACATAAGGAGTCTTTAGAATTTTATTTCATCACCGATCCCTTATGCTTTTCTCCACAGATGGTATTCCCCCACAGTACCAGAAGAGAAGGATTTTGTTTTGAGCAGAAATCAATAAAATTGAAATGCCATGACTTGATACAATGTAACTTTTTAACTTTATTAAAAAATAAACATCTTAAATTCCTTGCCTTTGTTCCTGATATTTGTTGGTTGGTATTTTTGGCAGCAGCTGCTTCTGGGAAGCTTTGGAAAGCAAGCAAGGGGGAGATGGGATAGTTCAGTTCTGAGTTTAAAGACGTAATCCTATTATCAACCTGTTAAAAAAAAAAAAAATTGATTCATACCTGTTGTCTTTGTTTAAGGCAAGCATAGTCAAAGTTCATATATACTACTATTTATATCGCACTTCGTGTTTTGCCTAGGTCTAAACTTAATTTGCTTGAAACTAAGATCTTCTGCTTCTGTCAAGACTTGGTTTGAATCCCACACTGAAACATTTGCTCTCCTCTCTGACCCTACATAGAAGTTCACCATCTATTGATAGGATAGCAAAAGAAGCAAATGGAGGGAAATATACTAATCTCAAGTCTCATATTTTTATCTGGAAGAAGAGAAATTGCTCGATTCCAACTAGGCCCCACGAGCCATCCATTTCTGAAGAATTTATGCAAAGTGTGCACTCCCACTAAAATTTGTCTTCTTAGAAATTAAACTATGAAGGACAGCAATATGGTATCAAAGATGAATACACAAGATTTTTACTATTACCATACTATGAGGAGAGCTGCCAGTTCTTGAAACAGTGTTGCTAGAAGGAGATGTTCCTAGCATTTCTTGCTTCCTTGTCAGCTGAATTTCATTTAATTGTTTATTCAGCCATGTGATCACTGCAAAGAAACAACACATTCCACTTTTCATTCCAATTATTTGTAATTTTAAAACAAAATCATAATTAAATTCTGAACGTGTCTAGATAAGACTACTCTTTTTTCAATGTTAAATTTATATTTGGGACAGTGTTAAAGGGTTCTCTCCCAAACAAAGATTTACAGAATTGCAGTCTTAGTTTTAATATGATTAGGAACTAATAAATCCTATGTGACAAGATGGAACTTTTATGTATCATTGTAAATTATTCATTGCAAGGGAAACAAAATAAATGCATGGGTTGCATTACTACAGAAAAAGGAAATGAATATTAATATGTGCCAGGAGGTGAGTCGACAGGAAGTTCTTCAGCTGGACAGAAGTGGGGTGTGTGGGCTCTCAAGAGCCTCAAATGAACCCTGACAAACCAACTTCGAGGTGCGTTTGGACCGGAACCCTCCCCTGGATGCGGGAGCGAAGAGGACAGTGTCTCATTAGACCCAGGGGGAGGAAACAAAACCCTTGCAGGTCGGATTTGTCTTTTGAATTGGAGTCAGGGCGACAGCCTATAAAAATGGCTGACAAGACGCTGAACTTCTTGTCAAAGCAAAAGGAACAACAGGAGAGTTCGGAAGAGTTGAAAGGCCAGTAAGATAATTTATCTAACCTACAACCATAAATCAAACCTGGAAAAGGCAAAGAAATATTGAGAACATAAATAATATTGATGGTCAGATTGGGACTTTTCCAAAAAGAAAGAAAGAAAAGGAAAATGGAGGGTTGAAACACCAGCCCCCCAAAAAAGTTATTTACTCGAAACAATTTTTGGACACAAAGGAGGAAGCAGAGAAATGACAAACCCACTCAAATATACATTTTAAACTTGGTTTTGGATTTGAAAAAGAAACCAAACACTTTGAAAGATTTATTCTGTTTGAACTTTTTCCAATTGATAAATCTTAACTCCAAAAAAAAACGCACTTCTTACTGATAACTGATGGCCTAACTTTGACTGTGGGGGAGGTTTTAATTAACTAACTGTCATAAATCAGAACTTTGAAAAGCCTGTTTTCAAGTGATATATTGTGAGCAGCTACAAGAGACTGGACTTAACGGAAAGAATAACAACAGAATAATAACGGAATCCAAACTGGGAAATACGGTTTTTTCTTTCTTTCTTCTTCTC